TTACTCCTAAGTCTAACAAAGGTTATGGGTGAAAATACATCATTATGGAAACCGTTGCATTTAGTTTTACCATGCAAGGTAACATATAAAGTTTACACTACATATAGAGTTTGCACTACAGTNACTGGAGAGCATGTGTGTGAAGAAGCAGGAAATAAAAAGGAACTCACCTTGTGGTATAACCGGCAAGAGAGAAAGCCTTTGAGCTCCATACTGTTTCAGAAATAATCCTTGATAATCCATGATTTGGCGTTTCATCACCGCAGTATTTAGTTTAGACAGTAGCTGCCGGGTCCCGCATGAGCTCAGCCCCCTCCTCTTTTTTTTTATCAGTTTCTCTTCTTTTTTTAAAGCTTTATACCCCAAATCAGCACTTTTGAAACAGGAAGTGGAATAGAGGGATATGAGGCATGGCTAGAATGGTTGATCTGTTTGGTATTTTGAGCAAAACACTTCATAGGCATGTTTTTTATATATTTTCATATATCTGAGACCTATGCTATTGCCTAAAAATAGCATGATTGGTGACCTTTAATCTTGTATGTATCCAAAGTGATTTTGTTGTCTTTTTGTCTTGTTATTGACAGAATCAGAGGTAAAAAAGGACTGCAAAACAGAAAGTGATGACAGTGAGGAGGAAGAGAAAGTGAAATCTGAATCTGAGGATGAAAAGAAAGAGGTAAAGAAATCCCAGCGCACCACGAACGGGAAGAGTAAACCGCAGATAAGCAGTGAGGAATCATCTGATGAAGAAATGAATGAGTCAGAAAACAAAGGCAAAGAGAGTAGCTGTGAGGACAGTCCAAAAGAAAAGGCGATAAAGAAAATGGATGCGACAAAGAATGGAGAGCCGGGAAGCAGCGATGCAAGCAAAGGAAAGAAAACACCTCAGAGTGATGAGGAGGATAAACCTGACACAGAGAGCGAGTCAGAAGAAAGTGAACAAAGGAAAGACAAAGACCCCTCAGATGACAGTGGAAAAGGTGACTATGCAAAATGTATACTTGCATGTAGGGCTGCTCGATTATGGCAAAAATCATAATCTCGATTATTTGGTATTGATATCACGATTATTAAAACGATTATTAAAAACGATTATCCATTTACTTTGAAAACATCCATTTATTGAAAAGAATTATGTTTTTAACAGTTGATACCCTGAACTTTAAGTATAATTCAACTGAAGAAAAACAATTTTTTTAATACATTTTCATAAATCGTTTTATTTAGATTATGTTGTTTTCATAATCGTTGCAAGCCAAAATTGTAATTGCGATTTAAAATACGATTAATTGAGCAGCCCTACTTGCATGTCCTATACACACATTTTTATTTCTGACTGACAATATTACCTTGTGTTGGGTTATGCAGAAGAAAAAGTCTTGGTGGAAAAGAAAAACAACGACTCTGACTCGTCACTCACCTCATTGGACGAGGAACAGAATAATGGAAAAGAAAATACAACAGCTGGTAAAAAGAAGAAAGCCACGAAAAAAGTGGAGAAAAAAGAGAAGAGCGCCAGCGGTCAAAAGGTAAGCCCATGAGAGAAATCAATCAATATCGGAGGAATCAATCTTTATAGAGTTAATTAAGTCTCTCTGTCAGGCAGCATATGTTTTTAATGCAGCAACATATTCAATTGGTCAAATCCAATGTATAATGTAGGCGACTGGGCTGCTCGATTATGGCAAAAAACATAATCTCGATTATTTGGGTCAATAATTGATATCACGATTATTAAAAACGATTATCCATTTACTTTGAAAACATCAAGTGCATACCGGATTGGCTATAGATAAGCCAATCCTTTATTAGTATATAAGTGCTGTGTTAGTAATTCTATCGCTCGAATTGGAGTCGAAACAGATGAGTTTTTCAGTCTGCGCCGGAAGATGTGAAGGCTATCTGCTGTCCTGATTTCAATGGGGAGCTCATTCCACCATTTTGATTACCCTGAACTTTAAGTATAATTCAACTGAAAAAAAAATAAAAAAAGATTTTATTTCGATTATGTTGTTTACATAATCGCTGCAAGCCAAAATCGTAATTGCGATTAAAATACGATTAATTGAGCAGCCCTATAATGTACATAGTAATTTCACATGTAAGTTAGTCAAAATACAAAGGATCCATTGGGGGTCAGTAACAGCTTGTTAACTGTATTAAAAAAAAAAAACAATGGTATTTTGAAAACAGATCACCAAATCATAGGTGTATGTTTGATAATTGTGAGGTTATTGCAATGTTGTATCTTCGACTCCCAACCTGTGTGTCCTCTGATTTATCATTCAGATGGACGATACATCCATTGTGAGGCTCAAGCGCTACATTACACTCTGTGGCATGAGGCTGAATTACAAGCAGGTGCTCCAGGACTGTCACTCGGTCAACACCCAGGTGGCTGTCCTGAAGAAGCAGCTGAAAGATCTTGGTGTTGATGGTCAGTGAGAGTACATTCACTTATTTGTTTTTCACATTTGCCCGTTATCAGGCATCTTGCGATCTTGTTTATCCGAGCATTAAAGAGCTCTTTTTAGGCCCTTTTTGGGTTTGCCCTCTCCTGAAGTGTGTTTTTATAAAGGTTTGTGTGCATGTAAATGGTCTGCAAAGGCTTGAATCCCTCCAGAGGGAGTTTTCTGTCCAACACACCTTCCATAACATTGTGACATCACCATGTAACACTCGCGCTCATATTGACGAACGCGCACAACACATTGTATGTGATAGGCTAACACATTTTCACTTTCTTTGTAAAGGACACAATTTGATTAACTTATGGCAACAGGGATTTAAGTGATAACTTGCTTCTTCGCTTTTTTTTCGAACAGGTCAGCCATCTATTAAGAAATGCAGAAAAATCAAAAGGAAAAGAGAGGAAACTCAGGAACTAGCTGATCTCGATGTCAGCAACATCATTGCCACAGAAGGTAACTTTTTTATTAATTCTGACATCCATAACTGGATGTGGCCTTTGATCTGGTTGGATCAACAATTGCACAGTGCATTTATAAGAATGATCTATCGTGTTTGCTAATCATTTTATTGCACTTATTGCAAAATATAAAACCATTGATTCAATAGACCTTCTAATGTGAATACTTATCAGGTCGACCTAAGCGCAGAGGAACCTCTGCATGGAAGGAACGGCAGGACTCTCCATCCTCCACATATCTGCGCACTGTGAACTCCGGCTCTGATAGTGATGAAGAAAACAAACCAAACAGAGGGCGAAAGAGACTCTGGGCCAACCTGCAGGGGATCATCAGTGACGATGCAGACAGCAACTGACTGGGACACTAGTGTTCTTAGATATGGATATTTATCTTTTGTTATGTTTTTTTTAAAAGTTGGTTCTACGCATATTTTTGATACTATTACAAATGTATTTCTGAAACCTTTTGCAAAAAGATAGTTTGTTCAAATCAACACATAACGTTACATGTCTTGTTGTTATACTATGTTAAATGTAATTCTATGCTATATTTCTAATAAAGTTGTTGTGCTTTGATCAAATAATTATTTAAATTTTAACCAGAGCTTTAAACTATATGGGTTCCTGATTTCTATTGCTTATTCTAAATTAATAAAGTCGTCAATAATGTAAAAAAGGACAGGAAATGTATTAATTCAGTTAACAATACATTAATATGGAAACAAGTAACAGGTAGTTAACAGCAGTAACGGCCTTACACACGGACACATTTACGGAACTAACGTAAGTAAGGTCTTGGATATTCGGAATGTTTTGCAGACGGACCGGTCCCACGGTCTAACGTGTCCGCTCGATCTCCTGCAGGTCAATGAGATATTTCTTGCTAATAATTATTGTACCACCCAAGTAATTGCCTTTTGTGTGTGTGTTCGGCATTATTATGTTGTGTTGTTGCTTATTAATAAGTCGGGACGTATTTTCAGTGAGATAACTGCATGCATGTGACCCTCAACCCCTCTGTCAGGTATCAGTAGCCTACATAATAAAAGAAACGATACGAACATTACATTTATTGTAACTATCGATATGGCTTTAACATAAATGGTGTGGGATATAATAATTGTTTTTTAAACCATGAATGAGTTTATCTTTTAAAGATTTAAGTTAATACGGGGCAATATGTTTTTTAAGACATAAAAGTGCACGATATATCTTCAATTTAGCTTCGTATCGTTTGCTACTTCATTTTGTATGTTTTCACCAACTAATTCATTTTGATTTGCAAACTGACATCCAAGGGGTGTTTATAAAACTGGGTGTAAAAGGATAACTAAGTTGTAAACATCAGGTTGAACAATATATTGAAGCCACATTTAACTAGGAAGATATATGTGACCTTTCAATATTATCTGCAATGCCTTAGCCAAGCCTGTAAATGGGTGTATAAACTGTGCATAGCTAAAATGTAAATACAGTGTGATGTGTGTTTTTGCTTTAGTCTTTTCTTATCAAGCTAATTCTACTCTTATACATTTAAGAGATAAACATTGTATTGTCTTTTTTACTCCACTATATATCTGACAGCTGCAGTGATTAGTTAACTTAACAAATAAAGATTTGGAAGTTGGAGAAATGTAATTATATTTTTTAAACCAAGTTGTTAAGCTTTCACTTTAAACTCTGCTGAATTGTGATGACCTGTTTTCACTGTGTTTTGACAAACCAATCAATTCATTAATGTATAGAGAAAATAATCAACAGATAACTTTAAAAACATGAGCTCCACCTCAACCAACTAAAACAGTGATCTTAACTTCATGCAGGGCTAATAATAATGTAATGATATATTATACAATATTTATAACACTCATGAAAGACGTGTTATTTCCAGTGAATACTTTGACTTTCAAAACTGTTGCTACATTTTCCAGATTATAATTATTCTTTAACTCTGTGTGATAAAGGTACTCTAACGTTAAATCTAAATACTTCCTCCACCACAAATCATAGATATTTCAAAATCTCCAGACGCTCTGACACAGAATATATTATTTCATCCAATAAAATTAAAACGTATTTTTTAATACCTTTCCAGGGAGTTTAAGAAAATTCAAATAACATAGACCCAATGTTACACATTCCACGCAGGAATGGATGACGATACGCCAGATGAAGCCTTTAAGGAGCTGCACACGGGGGACATTGGAGGATGGGGTGTTGCTCAGATAGCTGCTGGCACTGGGCTCGCTGTGTATGTGATATGGACCGGATTCGTACAGCCAGGCTTCAGGAAAGTCCCCTTGAGGCTACAGGTATGATATACATCTTAAATAAAAGTCCCCTATTATAATGTTTTTCATCAACATATTATAGATCTCAGATATATACAAAACATGTCTCTGAAGTGTTTTGCTCGAAATACCAAACAGATCATTATAGCATCCCATAATTACTATAGTTAAAAAGTGAGCAAATCTTTTTTCCTGAAACTTTCAGAATATCTTTACACAGACGGGACACATGTTTATTAGGGTGGTCCTTAGTGCCATGTACATTTTCGAATTCATTTATTTTAAGCTCCAACCACCGGAATTCGTTATGATAGTCAAGAAAACTCTCCTGGTGAATTGTATTCAAATTCCAACAACATTTACCCCTCCCTCATCAACCTTGAAGTTTAGCCTCACGTAGGGTGGTCCTTAAAGTTTAAAGTTTTCTTGACTAATAGAATGAATTCTGGGGGTTGGAGCTTAGACTTTCAGACTTTCAATTTTAAGGACCTACCTAATGTTTATGTATAAAAGACATGAAAAAGTGGATTCTGCATAATAGGTGACCTTTAAAAAAAAAAAAACGTTTTTCTTAATCAGAAGTTCTTTATTATGTTTTCCAGGTCCCGTACATTCCTGCCAGCAGAGCTCAAGTGGACCATGTAATGAACTTGCTGAGAGGCCGAAAGGGAGGGCTTGTGGATCTGGGGTCAGGAGATGGCCGCATTGTGAGTATAAGCAGGATGTTTCAGCTACTTTTTCTTTCACTGCAATGGGTATTGATTGTGTTATTTTTTCTCTCTTTAGGTCTTGGAAGCTCATCAGCAAGGTTTCACTCCCGCTGTTGGTTATGAGCTCAATCCCTGGCTACTCCGCTTGGCCCGCTTCAAAGCTTGGAGAGCAGGCCATCATGAAAAAATTTCATACAGACGGGAAGATCTCTGGAAGGTATGACATTTATAATCTGTATTATGGCATTAGTTACTTTCCTGTTACCAAGTTAAATTGGCCACCATTAATTGAAAACATTTCAATATTTTAATTTGTCTTGCAGCAATGTGTGTTTTTGCAACAACATTATAGTGTAAATGCAAATGTCCCCACTCCTAGAAAAAAAAGATAGCAAAAAAAAGTTGTATCTCTTCACAGGTTGACTTGACAGAATGCAAAAATATCACAGTGTTCTTGGCTCCTAGCGTGGTGAGTAGTAAAATGTACAAATGCCTCTAAACTGTAAAATACCATCTCAATCTGTCAGCACAGGCTTTCGGTGTGGTTGTATTCATAACAAATGTATTATCATTGGGTCAGTTTCAGTAAATCTCTGTTGAAGTTTTTCTATTGTGTGTTATTGTTTGTTCCTAGCTTTCATTATTGCAGAAGAAGTTGGAGGCTGAGCTTCCTGAGGATGCCTTAGTGATAGCTGGTCGTTTTCCCTTCCCTGACTGGACACCGTTCAGGGTTGAGGGTGAGGGTGTGCACAGAGCCTGGGCATACAACATGCAAGCACAAAGACAAAACTCCTTAAAGAAAAATGACAGCCACCAAACGCAACCTCAACAATGAACTCACCAAGGACTAAGGCTCCACTCGAATGGTTGTCCCTACTCTTTTGGACTCCAGAATGGGAACATTAATTTATACTGTATATCATTGAGTTACTGCTTATTAAAATACCTTCCATGGAATATTGTGGACATTTAACCTAACTTGACTATCTGAATGCTTTTTGACTACATCTTAAACCAGATTTTTCAGACAAACTGGGACTTACATTTTTTAATTGAATGTCCTCTCTTCTACAGTCTGGGTCGGGGGATTCTTTATTTTGGCAAGGTATGTGTTAACATTGAAGGAAAACAACACCTTTGCCACAAGAACACTGTAGAACTGTTGTAATTACTACCTAAATGTTGTAATGTCTGCTTTGTTCATTATGACAGAAATTAAGATGTCTTTAATTCATTAGACAATTTTGGATTCCATTGGGCTGCTATATTTCTACAGGTAGGATGAACACTAAAGGTACATTATTTGTGGGTGATGGTCAGACACATAGTGATGTGGAAATGTCTGTTGGAAAGTGTGGAATGTGGTTTTTCCGGCTCTGGCCAAAAACAAACCCTTGTGTAAGCGCATGAGAGTTTGTTTTTTTGATGTTGCTATTTCTTTTAAATGTTATAGTGTTTTACCTTGTGTTAGTTCTGCTATAAAAGCAATTTCTCTTAAAACCTATGTATGGAATACAAATTGACCTTTCTTATGCACCATGCTGGACATTAATCACCCAATTTCAGGTAATGTTTGTGGAGCTTTTAGGTGAAATCCCAATGTGGCTGACACTAAATGTTGGTCTACAGTGGCAAAAACATGTAATTGTTGTGAAAATACAAATATATTTTCCATAATAAATCACTCAATTTAAATGTTGTGAATCACGATCAAGTTTTTTCAGGACTCATCCAACAGCATTAAAACAGGATCTGATATGGTAAAGTAATATGGTTTATCTGTGTGGTATGTGGGAAAAGGCTCAGTGTACAGACTTTAGCAGATTGTGCAATGTTCTGCAATGCTGTCCTGCATTAGTAAATCAGTTTTGAGGGAGAACCAGGGGAGAACACATTTCCATGCTGTCTCCAGCAGAGGGACAATGCTATATGAGCCTTTTTAATATTCCTTTAGTCCGTTGAATATATAATAAATAAATTATTAATTTAGCAGTTTAAAAATAAATAAAAAATGTTAACCTTTATAAGTGTTTGTGCTCACGGATACATTACACTCTTTTGTCTTTAGTAAACACTTTAAACTTTGTCTTAAGTATTTGCAGTGGTGGAAAGTAACTAAGTGCATTTACCCAAGTACCGTAAGTACAATGTTATGGTACTTTACGTAGGTATTTAAATGTTCTTGCTACTTTGTACTTCTACCCCACTACAATTCGGAGGTAAATCGTGTACTTTTACGCCACTACATTTATTTTGTACCTTTGGAAAAATGATGTGAAAACTTTAAAAAATGATTTTAGTTAGACTTAGAATCAATATAAAAAAGTATTAAGTTAGCAGATTGTCTTTCTCTTCGAGAAAAAATGCCTCTATAAAAGTGTGCTGGCGTACACCATTTTTTTCTTTAGTGAAACTCTTTAAACTTTGTCTTAAGTATTTGTCAAAGTATTTTTAAAGGAGCGGAAATCGTGCTTTTATTATTGTGACTGACTTGACACAAGCTGATTGGTTTGGTGGATTTTTTGCAGCTAAAGAGGAAGTTACGAAGCGAACCCTGTAACCTGCTGCAAGCTAGCTGTATCTTTGAGCCGCCCTAAGCACTGAGAAGAGGGAATAACAGGAACAAGAGCGCAGAGTATTATATATGTAGTGTTTTTACAAATGTGCCCGATGTATTGTGTGCATATTCACCCGCTGTGAAATTACTAACGGGAAAGGCAAGTTAACAACAGCCATAGAGAGGCATGTCTATGTTTGACAGCTAGCAAATAATGCCTTCATCTTTCTAGAAGAGCTAGCGAGTTAGCCATCCGCTGCAACGCTAGCAGCTAGCTTCGAGCTATAGAAAGCTAATTAACGTTGCACATTTCTCCGGTGCTTGAGGTAGATGTTTCACAGAAACAGCGGTTTGTTATCTTACTCAACGGCAAATGCATTTAAACGAGAATGCCGCTAACTGACCAATTCGACGTAGCCCTTTCAACCTGAAGCCTATATGCTTGGTAGGCGTTTTATTCTGATTTCTAGTTAAATTAATTCAGTGTTGTTATTGTAAGTGAAGTCAGCAACGCCAACGATTTCTAGCTTGTCGTGTGTAGACTAGCAGACCATGATGAGCCCCCTCTGCGGTCACGTTAGCCAGCAACACCATAGCTAACGTTAGCTACACACTTGGCTAGCTAAAGGGGTAATGTTGTCTTATAACTGTAATTAATCCGTGAAAGACTAAACTGAAGCAAGCATCTGAGCCAGCTAAACATGGTAAGTTACATTTAACACGTATTATTTACTTCACGTTGTCTTCCTGTCTTGTTTGCTAACAGCTAACGTGGGTGCATACGGTTCTTATTCGTATTATTTGAACAGGGCGACCCACAGTTATCTATTAATAATGTGTTTAAATGACTCTACGTGTAGTTTAATCGTGTATGAGACATGCATTGCGGCCTTTCCATATCTATCAATCCATATAACGGTTTGTGAGGCCAGGTAACGTTACTTCACGGGATGTGACAGCTCCTTAAAGCCATTTCACGATACAAGACGCCCATCTTGCAAAACAGAATATTTGCAGGGAGTTGTGTTGAGCCTCGGCAAGTTGTGGCTCATTCGAGGAATTCAGACCTGCCTGCCACGGGATCTGCTCTTTAAAATCTCTATTTGCTATCTCGTTTATGCTAGGCAGGGCCTAACTTCCTCCCCCTGCAGAAGCGTGGTATTACAATCGACATAACGCAGTTCTTTTGAGTACAGCTTGAGTTGGCTGGTAGGACCAAGACTGGACTCATACAATCTTCAATACTGAACTATATAAGCAAGTCAGATTGCATTTGTGAACTGTAGTATTGCAATGTGTTAACTACATTTTCATGAGACCATGCCAAACGTTCACAACATTATTGATAGGGGGGGGGGGTGGGAGCAGGCCAATGACCAACCATAGCTATGTTCAGGCAAAAAAATGTGTCTAAATCATTAAGTAGCCTGCCTGCAATGACCATCATACAAAATATGTCTTCTTTAAATTAGCCTACAGGGAAACATGTTGAATGCATACAGCTATTCGTTGTAAAGAACCTACTTGAATGCTAAATGCATAATGAATATGAGTTAATGGTAATTAACTATCCTCTTCACTGTCATGATGGGTTTCTTATTCATTGAAAGCAAATTATTTATGTAAAGCTGAGCTTCTTCTGTGCATGTATTCTCCATCAAACACACCATTGAATTGTATCCGTCAAGCCGATAGATTTCTCTAATTCTAATGAATAGATGGTTGCGATTGGTTTTGGTTATGCACATTGTCATATAGAAACAACAAAATTGAGTTTTGTAATTGAATGTACTTTATTTATTATCCTCTAGGCTTCAGAGGAGACATCGCTGCGTGCACTGGAGGGCCTAATGACCGAGTTCTTTCACAGCTGTACGACCAATGAGAGAAAGAGAGAAATAGGTAAGTGTGGCCTTGAAAACCCTACCAGCACAAATTAAATAATTGGCATGGTCAGCAGGTACTTTCAGGTGTGTTTCCGCTGGTTTGTAAAGGAAATAGCAATGGACTTATCTCTAAAATAATGAAAAGGGAAGAAAATTAGTCTGACACTTTCCTATGATCAGATAAATATCACGTTAATTTACAATTTGAGGTTGTGTTTTATTCAATGTGAAACAATTGTAGGTCTCCCCTTGCTCTTTACTTAATTATAGTGTACATGTGACCTTCTTATCTTTTTAAAAAATAGATTCATCAAATAAAGAAAAAGGACTCAAGAATTCTTCAAACAGTTGATAGATCTGGATCCCAAAATACAATGTAGTGTATACTGAATACTGTAGTCTATGATTTGTCTCTGTAGAGTGTTTATTGTTACCTGAAATTATTTGCTTTCCTTTCTACTGTTTTTTCGCGTGGCCTTCTTACACACTTCCTGTGTTGTGACGCATTACTTTCGGTCTGTCTACATGTGAGAAAATTCATTTTCATGTACCTCTGTCAGAGATCATGCCTACTTCCTTTTTTTCTGCAGAAGAGTTGCTGAATAACTTTGCACAGCAGACTGGAGCGTGGCGCCACTGCTTGTTCTTTCTCTCCAATACTCGGAATGAGTATGTCATGATGTACAGCCTCACAGTATTTGAAGTAAGTCCTATAGGTAGAAAATAAATATGTTTAGTTCCTTTTACTGTCTGGGGCCTTGTCATGCTTTTAAAATAAGACTGTACACAGAGAAAGGTATTGTTTCATAGCTACTAAGAACAAAAATGTGTTTCTTCCTGTTCCTGTTTCATAATTTCAATAATTTCCCGAAAACAAGTTAGCTTAATGTGTAATACATTTAGCAATGGATCAAAGGCTGAACATCCTGTGACTCCATACTTTCGCCTTATTTAATTCATTACTACAGTGCCCTTTCACAACATGCCTTTTCGGAAAGGGCAGAATGCTTGGCCTGTGGTGTTGCTGCTTTTAGCTTTCTTGAGACCCGCTGCTCATAACAACTATACAATTAACACCTTGGGTCCTGAGCAAGACATCTGCCATGACATAGTTTCACACGACCAAGACATGGCTACGCACAATCAGAAAAACCTCTGAGGTACACTGAGCAGAGGTCATTTCCAAGTTGGGATATGGATCTCTTGCATTGACAAAACTCATGCGTCCCTAATTTGCACCGTGGATTTAATTAGCGGTTAATTAGTTACAAGTGAGTTTTGAGTCGTACACCAGGGGAATATAGTGTTACCCTCCGAGGGGTGAGAGAACAACACATGCCCGGTCCAAACGACATGTTGGACTCTGTCTGCAGAACGCTGTGGATTGCCCGCGCTCCTGCAAACAGAGTGTATTAATATTCAACACGTCTTCTGTCCAACTTGCACTTAATTTGGCATCTATACATCCAGGGGTCCTCAGCATTAGCCACAACGTGTAAAGTACATCAGATTGAAGTTTCTTAGGAAATGTATGAGTTGTGTTTTTTTTTGTTGCAACATTATGTTTTTAGTGAAATGTGAGTTAAGTGGGCACTGTAATGTTAAAAATACATTCTTGACAAACTAAAAGTATTTACAAACTAGTTGGAGAGATTATGGTTAAATGTTTAAAAAAAAAAAGTAGCTTTTCTGACCGCCTTTAGACTCAGCTTTAACATCTGATTGTCCAATTTCTATTTCAGAACCTAGTGAACAAAATGTGGATCGGCGTTGCTTCACAAGACAAGATGGAGATTCGCAGCTGTCTGCCTAAACTCCTACTTGCACAGCACAAATTGGTGCCCTATTTTATCCGTAACAAACTGTGCAAAGTCATTGTGGACATTGGTCGCCAGGACTGGCCAATGTTCTACCATGATTTCTTTACAAACACACTTCAGGTAAGCCCTGCTCGGTCAAAGGTATTTGAATGCATTTCATGTTTACTTTCTATTATCGTGTAACATTTGGAACAAGGTATTTTTAAATAGTCACTGTTATGAGGATGTTGCTCGACATGGGGAAGTGCAGAAGCTATAATATGACCCACAAGAAAATTGCTCAATGTCTTCTTTTTATTTTTAGTCTATTGCCCCGGAATGCAGTCATGATAGAAATCTTTGCTATTAGCATGCATTGAATAATCAAAGAGTGGCTGCCCTAAGAGTAAAGCTGAAGCTGTTTGGAAATATCCAATGTTTACAAGATATGATGTCATGTACATTTTGGACCCTTTCGGGACAATTACGCCACATTTCGCACACTTTTTATTTGTATTTTTCTGCAAGTTATGTCCCCTCTTTCCTTTCAAAACAGTGTCTCTTTTACTGTATCACTAGAATATGAGCAGAAGAAGTTAATAGATTAAGTAAACATGTGGGTTTCCTGCAGGAAATGATTCAACCAAAAGGATGAACCACATACAATCAAGCATGTTGCATCTTGTCTGATGGTTCATTTAGCGAACAGATGACAAGCAAAACATTTCTTAATAGTTCATTTTCCGTGTGGAGGTTAATATGACATTTTCTGAATGCTAGTTATTCTTTGTTTAATGATAAGAAAATGCCCAGCTTTGCTATCCAACGCAGTGAGTTAACGCTGCACTGTCGACCAACCCTAGTGGTTCCCTTGCATTGAACCAAACCAAACGTTTTGTAGGACTTAGTTTAGTGGGGGAAATTCAATAGTGTTTGTCTTTACTCACAAAGCTTTTGTCTGTCAATCTCTCGTGCACTGCAGTTGATCCAGTCCCCAGCTCTGTCTTTGTTGGGGTTGGTGATGTTGAAAACGACATCAGAGGAACTTGCGTGTCCTAGAGAAGACCTCAGTGTCTCCAGAAAAGATGAGCTACGTAAACTGCTGCTGGAGCAGGTACCCACAGTGCTTGGATTGTTGACGGGTGAGAATAACCTTTTAATAATGTTGCAGAACTAATGAGTGATACATATGTTATTATCAGGCTAATCTACAGGAATAAGATTTCAATTGGATATACAACCCTCCTCTGGTACAACTAGCTAATTAGGTTTGAATCTGACTTCCACAGATGCTTTGGTGAAAAACCTTCAGTATTGGTGGATAAGTGGGTTCTTGTCACATCTTGTTTTGCAGGTATCTTGGAGACCTATTGGGACAAGCACAGTGTCATAGCTTCAACGCCGCCTCCCTCACCCACCTCTGGGGAAAGTGGTAAGTGAATGGTGCTTTTGTAACATACATCTGCCCTGTTGGGATAATCCTGGATGTGTTTCCTGACTGAAAATATGAAGCATTTATCAAGAGGTTTGTTGTTTATTAACCACACCTTCTTTTTTTTGTCTCTTCAATCTATCAGTGGAGTTGCTGGGCAATTTGTTTCAGGGCAGCCAGTACTCAAAGCTGCTGTGCCAGCCCATGGCGGCGCTGGACAACGAGAGTCAGCAGCTCTGTTGTCTGGTGTTGGAGTGTTTAGCTCACCTGTTCAGCTGGATCCCTTTGTCCACAAGCATCACACCCACCCTGCTGGCATCCATTTTTCACTTTGCACGTTTTGGTTGTGATATTCGGACAAAGGCCAAGACAGGATGCTTCATCTCCTCAAACTCCTCCTCTTCTAACGGTCAGCTCAATCCTGGGACAATGCCCCCCACATCAAATGGAGGCGGGCGAAACGGAGAGCAGACGGAGGGCAGCAAGGTGGACCGAGCCCGGCTTGGGGTGCTCGCTATGACCTGCGTCAATGAGCTTGTGTCAAAGAACTGTGTGCCAATGGATTTTGAGGAGTACCTGCTGCGCATGTTCCAGCAGACCTTCTTCCTCCTGCAGAGGCTGACACGAGAGAATAACACTCATACAGTCAAGACCCGCCTACAGGAACTTGACGAGAGGTATGGCTCAGTCCATTGGTTCACACGAGTGTTTGTTCATAAGTGCTCGCAGACTACACAGTGTATTCTACATGACAACTTCACCCTGTGGTCACAACTTATCATATTTGCTTTCTTCTTTTAATCTAATTTGCAGTCAGAAGTTTCTATGTGGTATTTCTTAGAAGTCCATCCCTCAAAAACGCTTTTGTTCTATAACTGTTGCTCTTTACCCTAGCTCTGTCACGTGTCTTTCTGATCAAATCTTTCTTTCTGATACATATAAACTATACAGTGTTTCCCATACATTGATTTATTTGTGGCGGGCTGCCACAATTAAATATCGTCCGCCACAAATGGATCTCATAAAAAAAAAAATTTTTTTATTATTATTAATTTCTTCTTCTTTTTATTCTGTTTTGTTGGTGGTCTAATGGATAGTGAGTTGGGCTGATGATCGGAAGGTTGCGAGTTCAAATCCTGCCTGGAACATTACTACTAGTGTGCCCTTGAGCAAGGCACTTAGCCCTCGGTTACTCCAGGGAGAATGTCCCTGTAATTGGTCATTGTAAATCGCTTTGGAATAAGGCGTCTGCTAAATGCCTAAATTGTAAATTATATTTTTGGGAGAATAAATCCCACAGATCCTCAACTCCAGTGTGTTTCACTAATTACCAACGCAACACAGAGCAACAAGAACGTTGGGGGGGGGGGTGCGGTGCCCCCACAAATAGAATGAAATTATGTGGGAAACACTGCTATACCATTAATACTACATTTTTTTTTGCAAGTTCAATACCGATCATAAGTTGCTGAGCTTGATTTCCTCACCTGTGACATCCCAATAGTTATCTTACTAGTTTCATGCTTTCATGTTTTGTAGTATGTGCAGATACATGAGGAGCATTGTGTGCTGTCGACATGTAAATGATGGCCTAGTTATTACAACACTCTCTTACAACGTAGGCCCTTGATCTTTGTTTAACAAATATTGTTATTATCAACCAGCACAGACTGTATAAAGTAACGGCTGAGTGGAACATGTTTACGACTTTTATGGTTTGTTTGGTTAATTTTTTGTTCTCTTTCTTCTCGCAGTTACTTGGAAAAGTTCACAGATTTTCTGCGCCTCTTTGTTAGTGTTCACTTGAGGCGGATTGAGTCCAGTCCTCAGTTTCCAATTGTTGAGTTTCTTGGCCTGCTTTTCAAGTACACCTTCAACCAGGTAACGATAAGTGTGTCAAGCAGTTGCTTATACAGTACAGCACAGGTTGTTTGTTTCTGCTAACAAAGCCTGTTTCTCATTGGTCTAACAGCCTACCCATGAAGGCTACTTCGCCTGTTTGGATATATGGAGCGTCTTTTTGGATTTTCTAACGACCAAAATCAAAAGCAGACTCGCTGACAGAGAAAGTGTTCTGAATAGGTAAGTCGCTCATAATCAACTATCTCAAATTCATGCAGATATATCAAACGTTTGAAATGAAGCGTATAAAATGCCTGATGGGTTGTTAATAACGTGTTCTTCTATGATTATATTTGTGTGTGGTTGGACAGGTACAAAGATGCCTTAGTTCTTCTGTTAAGGGAAGTTCTGAATCGCATCCAGTTCAGATACAATCAGGCCCAGTTAGAAGAGCTGGATGATGAGACGCTGGATGATGACGTAAGAACCATTTCCTTTCATTTTACTGTCTGTCAGTTGCAGCTTTTTAACATAATATCGTGTGTCCTGTTTTGAAGATGTATACCAAAAGACTATTTTAATATTAGCATACTTTTAGACAGGCACACATTTCAAAGACCTTTATCTTAACTTTAAAGTCTTAACTGTTCTCTTTCATTTTGGGAACTATAGCTACAGACTGAGTGGCAAAGGTACCTGCGTCAGAGTCTGGAGGTGGTTGCCAAGGTGATGGAGCTGCTCCCATCCCATGCATTCACTACTTTGGTAAGAGTTCATTGTTGGTGTCCCATTGGCGTTTTGTACAGTTATCAGAATACCTTTATTAGTCCCACGGAGGGGAAATGTGCGTAGTTCCAGCAGGAAAAAGAGCCACAGACAGCTTAATGTTACATATCTTAAATATGTGACATGCATTAAAAAAAAAGTACTACGTTAATAAAAAGTTACATAATTTAAAAAAAAATACACATCCTGTAACAGTTCTTAGGATTTAGCAGTCAGGTATATATTACAGTTATTAACGGCATCTATATATATTGCACATCTAGCACATATAGGTGGTTGGTATTTAACAGCAGCAAGTTACACAATTTACAAAATACAAAATACACACCTTGTAACAGTTCTAAGGATTTAGCAGCCAGGTATATATTACACAGTTATTAACGGCATCTATATATAGCACATATTGCACATAGTTTGTTGGTATTTAGCAGCAAGGTGTGATATAGTCTGTGTTGTGGTCCTAATAAGTACCAAATTAGCTGCAGGAGATTTTCTTCAACGCTGACGTGGACAACTATTTTCTTGGTGCCTTATTTGTGTAGCTTCCCATCGCATTCAAGTAATACTGACTGTAATATTATATTAGACGACCTGGCCGTGACTGGCTGCCTGGTGTGCGTCAGTTCACCTCAAACAGAGTCATGTTAAGCAGTTTAAACACTTTTTCACATCGTATAAAGTACAGTGTTGGACCAGCACAGTTCTCGCTCCACACAAAGCACAGCATTGCTACATAACATCACTTCCAGCTAACTTTACTGAGAATAAAAAGGAAAAAACCTACTGTGGTCTTTGTCATATAAAAAGACAAAAACACTGAATCTGATGTCGCATCAGAGTTAAAATATTTAGTAAAATCCTGTATGTAGTGAAAACGCTGTCATAACTTTATTTAAGCACAATTTCTATTTAAAACTGTAATTTAGTTTTATTTAATATGGTTCAATAATTTGGTTTTCTTGTGAAATCTTTACTTCTGTATTGTGCATGTTCCTTGTTTGTATTTATAACCTACACAATAATAAAGTAAAGAAAGAAAATAGACAATATTTAAAATATGTTATTTTTACATGTCAAGTAACGTATGGTGATTTATTCCAGTGGGTGACAGCCTTCATGTTTCCTCTTTTCTCTCTAAAGTTTCCAGTGCTCCAGGATAATTTGGACGTATACCTTGGTCTGCAGCAGTTTATTGTCACCACTGGAACAAGTAAGTATTCATGTTATGAGCTATATTCCCATTTGATGAAGCTAATTTTATGTATAAAATGTTGCAATGGCCTAATCGTGTCGTCCCTCGCTCAGGTCGGAGGCTGAATATCTCTGCAGAGAACGATTGCCGTCGCCTGCACTGTTCTCTCCGGGACCTCAGCTCCCTCCTGCAGGCTGTGGGCCGCCTGGCGGAGCATTTCATCGGGGAGGTCTTTGCTGCACGTTTCAATGACGCGCTGGCAGTGGTGGAGAGGTCAGTGCTCTTAAACTCTTCTAAAACATTACAAAGTTATTCTTCTTCCAATACCATGCAGTTTTTTTGTATGTTTCTAATAGAGTGCCACAGTGACCTCACACATTTAAGAGACGGATCACATTTTGTTCAGCCGGATAATATCCACATCTCTACCCTATAATTTTCTAATCATAAATCTATCGATTAGATTTATGATTAGAAAAGAAGGGTAGACATGTGGATATTATCCGGCTGAACAAAACGTGATCAGTCTCTTCAATGTGTGTCAACCACAGACCTTATTTCGAGCTATTTTCCAAAGTCCTATGGAGAAATTGCATGAATCTTTGTCGAAGGAACCGGAAGTGGTCGAATGCTAAATTGCTTCCGGGTTTTAGGACGCGTCACTATGGCCTCTATAGAACATTTTCTACACTCAATAGATCTGGGGCCGTATTCACAAAGCATTTTATCTTACCGCTAGGAGTGCTCCTAACTCGCGCTAAAATATTTTACGTAGGAGTTTTTTCTTAAAAGTTATTCACAAAGCCGCTGAGACCTACTCATACTAAGGATAAATCACTAAGAGTGAACTAAGAGTGACGCGCCGTTGCTATGGATGACGTCGATTCTCGTGCATGAGTTTAGAAGCGGCGCTTCTAAACTCATGCACGAGAATCGACGTCATCCATAGCAACGGCGCGTCACTCTTAGTTCACTCTTAGTGATTTATCCTTAGTATGAGTAGGTCTCNACCTTGGAAAATGCCCTTTAATACTTTTTAATAGCCTTCATTTTCGCTAAATTGATTTATCAACTTTTAATACTTTTTAAGACCCCACAGACCCCCACCGTACCTGGCAGATCTTTTAAAACCCCACACGGTCACTGAGGTCTGACAGATTACTTCTAGTGGTCCCAAAATCAATGTTAAAGCAGCGAGGAGACAGAGGCCGTTTCTCTATCTCGAGGAAACTGGCTTCCAAACCAATATTTCAAGGATACTACGTCATCGAGTGCCGCAGAAGAACTGTTCCAATCTCCAGCATACTTGGAATTCCACCGAGGCCGCGTCCTTGGTTTGGGGGTAATTTAGAGGCTGCACATGGGTAGACTTCGCGTCCTTCAAATCCCCAGAATGCTTTGCGCACGGACCAATTTCCCCAAATCTGTGGCGGAAAATGTAAGGCTGGGCCTCTCATCTGACACACACCTGCACACTTGCTCGCCTGTTCCACTCTTCGTTTTCCGAATGCCAGGAAGGATTCTTGCCTAGCTTCTGAAGGAAGTGACTCGGAAGACATGTGCTACCAAGGAAGCATCCTCGCGATTGAGAAACGGCCAGAGACTTGCTCCAACTCTGCCTGTTTTTAAATCTCGTTTAAAAACCCACTTCTTTCCCCTTGCATTTACAGACCAGGTGACACTTGTGCTTTTAAATGTGGGTTTGTATCTTACTAGTGTTTCGTATTGTGTTTACGTCATGTATGAGAGTTTTTCAGTCTGTGGCTTTTGATCTGGTTTCATTGTCTCGTGTTTTACATTTGTTTCATGTCCTGTCTGTTTTTTATGTATTTATGCTTTGTTTTTATACAGTTGTTGATGTACAGCACTTTGTTCAACTGTTGTTTTTAAATGTGCTATAGAAATAAAGTGGATTGGATTGCTATTAAAGTCAGGAAATAAAAGGAAAAAACGGTCAGAGATCGAAGCTGATGTTTGAACGTTTTAAGGTTCATTTACTTTCAACAAGGTTTTTTATGCTTTTACAACAATAAGCTACATTTAAAATGATTAGTTCAAACATCCGAGAAGTATGTCACTTCGGAGATGTCACAAATGGAGACAAAGGTTTTTGAGATTACATAATGACACGGACATGGATTTTTTTTAACATGTAATGTTATCATTATGCATGTAGTATTAAAAAGGCAGGGAAGCATCCTTACACACATTCCCCCAGCATACACTCATAGCCCCCCCGTTACAGGAGAAGTAGCTACAGAAAAGTGAATGGAGTGATTACATCATCTTTACATTATGATGGAACATTTAAAACAAACTCCAGATGGAGAGCCAAACGGTAGCTTTGAGACACTGACCTGGCTGCTGAATAAACACTGGGAAAAGGCTGAGGGACACTTGGACCGACTCCTGGAGACTCTGGTAACAGATCTGCCGGGATTTGGTGGATTCCCCAGAGACGCTGTCCACTAGGTCTCTGAGCACAGGCAGGGTCTGCTGTATCACCGCTTTCACTGCAGTAGAGACAAGATGGTCATGAAACACAATTAGAGCAGGAAAAGTATGAAAGGGTGGGGAAAAGAGAACATACAGAGAGTAACAAATCAAAAGAGAAAGAAATACTGACTGTTATTCAGATCGGGTTGCCGTGGAGTAATGTTCACCGTCCCTCTTATACCCTTATACTCTCGAGTGAGTGCTGCCAGGAGGCTGGCGTGGTTGCTGGAGCGCGTCTGCCACTGCTGCTCACTCTCTGGTAAATTTGGCCACGGGAGCAGCAGCATGTTGGACAAAGCCCTGCACACCAACATGTGAGCCTGTATGCAACCACAAAACATACAGAGTTAATAATCCATATAGAGGACATTTGAAACGTTTAAGAGGGAAAAAAAATAGACATTCACAAACGATCCATCTTATAAACTATAAAAGTCCTTTGAAAGCATCACCTGCTTCTTGAAACTTCAGTAAAACATTGAATAACTTCATATCATATGAAGAAGCAACCACCATGTACCTCTTGGGGGAGTCTGCGGGGGTGATTCTCTGTTGTGATGAGGTTGAAGATGTTCCGGACAGCTGGCAGCGTGACCAAGAAGACCGGGCGCACCGTGGAGGTGATGGAAACCATCAGATGGCACGAGGAGAGCAGCAACTTCTCAGGTACCTGGAGGTAAAGACAACATGGGAGTTTAAAGAAGAACCACATGGTAGCAACACTGATCTCCTTTCACTATCTCAGCCCAACCCACTCTTCCTCCCACATTACTCTGAACTATTAGGTGGAAAGGAGATTTAGAATTGGTTGCAAAAGTCTTGGCAGTTGCTCCTTTAAGTCTTTTTTTGACGACCAAAACAAAGACGGTGTTACTCGTGTCCTAAAATCCCTTCATCATACATTTAACAAATATAATATTTATGCATTATAAAAACACAAAAGGAAGCTTCTGTGAACAGGGGGCTCGAGGGTAAGTGTTGGTGGATATTTCCGTAACACTTCCTCCTTAATGAACCACTGTTTCAACATGAAACTAACAGCTCTTTAAGATCAGGTCTTTGAACTGCACTCAGCTATGTTTGACCAATGATCAATTTGAATTTCTTCATTGATCCAAATAAGAGATTCTGCATTTATCACATTAAAGCCCATGCGTTGACGATAATAATTTGTGATACCGTAATTTTCGGACTATAAGGCGCACCTGAATATAAGCCGCAGCAGCTAAATTGAATGATGTGTACATATATAAGCCGCACTGGACTATAAGCCGCAGGTGTTTTAATGTTTAATTACCATATGTAAGGGTTCGTGCACAGAGGGGATTGTCGGGAAAGAGATGGCTGTTTGAGGAAGCTCCCATTTATTAACATTTCAACAAACAAGTTGCATATTTGCATAACGTATTCAAGTGTTACCATTTAGTGCAATAGTAGCTACAGAACATGTACTGTGTAAACTGTACTGTATCACATAGCGTTTCAGACACACAAACTTTTCAACTTTCAAACTTAAACGGTGCGCTCCCAGCGCACGTACCGGCAGTGATCGACAGCAGTGGTTTTCAACCAGTGGTACGGGGACAAACTGTCTCGCTCTCGTAATGTCTGTCTGTCTTGCTCTCGTTCTGTCTCTCGTACCACTCTCGGTTCCACTTTTACTTTTGCGCGCTACCTGTCTCACTCTTTTCCGGCCTTCAGCTTTTCCTGCTGGAGCCCGCCGCTTAAAGGTGGGGGGCGCGGACCGGCCATAGAGCCCATAGAGTTAAAGGTGGTGGACTGTAACCTGTAAAATCCATAGATTTAGGAGGTCCCCTAGTGGCCGTTCTGAGACTGCCAAACCCATAGATTTAGGAGGTCCCCTAGCGGCCGTTAGCTGTAGAAATCCATAGATTAGCCGCACCGTTATATAAGCCGCAGCGTCGAAAAATGGGAAAAAAGGCGCGGCTTATAGTCCGAAAATTACGGTACATTAGTCCAAGACTGACTTATCCAATCATTTCTCTTTAAAGTAAAAGTATGAGGCAAGATACCTTTGATGTGATGAGTGGGCTACTGGCATCTATTGTAGATGTGATGAGGTTCATGAACTGGCTCTGGTTCTGACCGTGGACCTCACTGTAGAACTGTGCCAGCCAATGGGAGTAGGCTTGCAAAGCAGCAAGGGCCTGAGCGTGTCTGTAAAAAAACACACAAACACACAGTTAACAACAAAGGCGTTTTGCATTAAATAAAACCTACTCTCTTACTAAAACTCCGGATCATTTGCAGGCAGGATTTGGCTTTGGTTAGGGCTGAGAAAAAGGGCTGTTTAGTGCCTAAATTCAACCAAACATTCGCACAATCAGTGCCCTTATTATTTTTCACAGGGTTGTCTTGTTATTTGAAGCGGGAGCTTTTCATAATATAAACAATTGTTCCCCTATACAAGAACAGTGACCTCCATGTGAAGGCCGGGTTGTGCTTCAAACATGTAATACTCACACGTCGATGAGGTCTGGTTTGAGCACAGAAGGCACAGCGGTCTCCAGGTCGTAAAGACTCGTCTGAGAGCCGTAGCAAGTCACTTCAACCAGCCTTGAAAAAGAAAAACACACACACGGTTCATTATGAGTTTCTGCTCTAAATAGAACAATCCACAGAATACCACTTCGTCTGGTTTAAACACAAAGCCCATTTGAACCCTAATGAAATGAAACAGAACGCCAAAACAGACACAAAACAACTGTCGAGTGAGTTGAAAACCAGGGGCCGTATTCACAAAGGATTTTAGGGCTAAAAGTAGCTCCTAACTGGCGAATTTAGGAGAAACTCCTAAGCATAATGGGCGTGTCAGTCTTAAATTTAGGACTCCTAATTTTATTCACTAAGAGCAATTCACAAATTATTTTAGGCCTAAAAGTAGCACCTAAGTCTGGGAGAGCTTAAAAGTCCTCGAGAGGACTCCTAACTCAGTAAGACCTATTCACAAAGAATCTGAAAATGGCTGAGAGACGAAATGTTTTGGAGACAATGGAAGACTGTGAATTGATCAAGAGATATAGGCTAAATCGTGAGGGTATCAAACTTGTTGTGGAATTAGTGCGGGATGCAATAACATCCCCGACTAACAGGAATAACCCGATTAGTCCGGAAATAAAATGTTTGGCAACACTACGATATTTAGCAACAGGGAAAATGCAACTTTGCAATGCCGACGATTTAGGAATATCGCAACCATCAGTCAGCCGTGCCATAAACCAAACCATCAACGCGCTCTCTAGACCACATATCATCCAACAGTTTATCCGGTTTCCTTTGGACAATCAACAACTACACAGGATCAAAGCCAACTTCATGGCAATGCAGGTATGCCCGGTGTGGTCGGTGCTATTGACGGGACGCACATAAAAATAATTGCGCCATCAAAAGATGAGGACGTGTTCGTCAATAGAAAGAAAGTACATTCCGCCAAGGCACAC